TCCGACGTCTCCCTTCACCCACTTTTCGGTTGTCTGTCCCCCAGGGAGGAGGTCACATATAGTTCCTTGTAATCGGTTCCCTCTTTCCTACCCAGAGCCCTAGTATCTTTGAAGAGTGCTGTGATTTAGTTTAGGTCTGATTGGACCGTGGGAACTGCCTTCCCCGAATCAAGACGACTGGCCCATCACAGGGCTGATCGGACCCTGGGGCCACGTAACAGCACTTGGTCGCCAGACCAAGTGGATGTGGTTTACGATAAAGCACGGCGGAGCCAAAGCAGTAATCAGAATAGGCTGACTCATGTGGACTTAAGGGGCCGGCTACTTAGTCACGGTGTACCTAGGAATGAAATGGATGGGAGCGCTATGGGATATACATTGACTTGATCTGTACAAGCAGAGCAGCCCTGGCGGCACAGTGGCTACACGTTGGGCTGTTATCCACAAGGTCAGCCGTTGGAAACCACCAGCCACTCCCCAGGGAGGAAGATGGGTCTTTCTATTGACAGTCTCAGAAGCCCCCAGGGGCTGGTCTCCCCTGTCCTATAGGGCTGCTAGGAGTCAGACTCGACTGGTGGCAGTGAGTTTGTTTCTTTTTCATGGACAAGAAGAAGAGTTCTAGGTCGAGTTAGCAGCAAGCAGTCCCCAGACAGGAGTCTTGGCTCTTCAGTCCATGTCCAGACTTGAGCCAGTATACAGACTCACAACACCTCGAAAGGGGGGGAGGCCAGGTCCCCTCCAGGAAGGTCCCCACGACACTGCCCGAAAGGTATCCTATTTTATCTTTCTTCCAGCCTTCTGGCATAGGGAGTTATGTATTAGGCTGCTAACCTCAAGGTCAGCAGTTTGAAACCACCAGCCGCTCTGCAGAAGAAAGATGAGGCTCTCTGCTCCCATGAAGAGTTACAGTCTTGGAATCCCACAGCGGGGGGTTCTACCATGTCCTGAAGGGTGGCTAGAGTTGACATTGACTCAATGGCAGTGAGTGTGGTTTTGGTTTGGTCCCCAGAGTGATGTACAGACTTTTACAAGCATGACCATTTACTGAAGGGAAGGAAATAATCAGACCTTTCAGGGACTATGGGATACTGGCTCTGAACTGACACTCACTCCACCAGTTGAAGTGCAGGTGTATGGAGGTCAGGTTATTAATGGAGTCTTGGTTCAGGTGTGTCTCATGAACAGTAGGGTGTCCTTGAATCCATCCCGCCATGATTTCCTTCATTCCAGAATGCATGGTTGGGCAGATCTAAATCAGCAGCAGGCACGCCAGATCACCAACATGTGGGATAAGGGCTAGAAAAAGCCAAGTGGAGTCCAGTAGAACCCCCTTGCCTAGGAAAACAGTACTACAAGAGCAATATCACATTCCGGGGGGGATTTCAGAGATTGGGGCTACCATCCAAGTCCATGGATTCAGGGGTGGTTTGGGGATACCAGCTCCCACAATCAAAAGGATCCAAGGGTAAGGTGACCAGATTTTAACATTGGTAAAGCGGGACACCATTGATAAAACTCATATCCTGGCGAAATAGCCACATGGCAGCCGAAAACCGTATACCCTAGCTTGTCGTCCATTCTTTCCCAAAATCAGGAATTTTTTTAAAATGCCACGGGACACAGGAAAAATTGTTAAAAATCGGGACTGTCCCGCCAAAAGCGGGCCGTCTGGTCACATTATCCAAGGGGCAGTTGTGTAATTGAGGGGTAAAATTAAAGAGACATCAGACAAGCTAAAGCAAGTGCTGACCTCTGAGACCACCATAAC